GAGAGAGAGAGAGAGAGAGAGAGAGTAGAGAGGGGGGGGGGGGGGTGACTTCGCGGTGGAGACAGCCTCTTTGTGCAGTCGGGTCGCAGAGGGGCAAGCTTGTACAAAATCCGAATCTCTTAAACTCAGTGGTGGGCGGCCTATAGGTGAATTTGTTTGCTTGGAATGAAGACCGGTAGGTGCTTTTCTTGATTGGCCGCCTGACGAGAACTTCGAAAAGGGAAACTAGTAGTTGTCAACGAAACGACTTTGTTTTCGTCTCCACCTAGCGACTTGTCAACAACGTTTCGATCTCCAATCTTAGTCTCCAGCGATCAGGTAAGAACGGCCTTTTCAAGATCATTTCTCAAGAGAGTAGATACTAACTTCTACGTCCAGAGAACAAGAAGATTCAAGATGAGTATCAACAACCAGAAGTAAAGACTTCCCGACTATCACAGCACCTCCCTCCCATCTTTCCTCCGACGATACAACTTCGCGATTGACTAACCCTCGGCCATAATAATAGCATCGGTCAGGGCAGCATGGCACAAGTATCCAGCACCCGCGTCGCGACTATGACTCCTCGAGTTCCGGGTGGCGCCATGTACGACCCCTCCACGAGCAATCCAGGCTCGCTCAGCATGAACAACCTGGGCTCGCTCGGCGCTGATCAAATTGGAGGAGTCGCTGCCGCCGATGACCGTAACACCACCGCCCGATACTCACCCACCACTTCTGCCGACGACAGCACCGCCAGCGAGATCAACCCAACCAGCGCGGACGACGACAACACCATCCAAGCTGCCGAGACCACCCAGGACACCACTGCCGTCGACAACGAGGCAATCGCTTACCACTGTGCCGAGTGTGCCGAATGCGCGTTCCCCTTCCCGGGCGAGTCGCAGGAGGGCTTCAAGTTGCGGTGCTTGATGAGCGAGGTCAGACATGCGAGTCAGGAGATGTACGATGATATGGCTGCGGTGTGTGCGAGCATCATCGATGCTGGCGAGAAGTTGCAGGTCATTGCGAGAGAGCTGGAGGAGGAACTGGAGAATAGACTGGAGGAGGCGCGCCAGGGCTAGCTAGTCGTGGTCACCAGGAGTAGTACTTGAGAGAGGGGGGAGGGCTCGCTCGTACGTGCTGGGTTGCTTGGGGGGATGATCTGGCCCGCTTTTTTCTCGGTGGGAATGGAGAGGGGGGGGGGAGTTGAAATGTCTGGATGGTGGTCACTCTACTCTCTCTCTCTCTCTCTCCCTCTGTCTGCACTGGGTTACTGATTTTCCTGCCGCACTTCATTGGGCTTTGGCTCTGGAATAAATGACACAGACGTTCTGATAACCCTGCGTTCGCAGCTATGCGCGTGCTACTTATGGTGCTTGTCTGCTGCGCAGCCTCTGCGTGATGTGATCTCATGTGCTGTTGAGAGTGGCCATCCATTTTCGAAATTCCGGTCTCACGGCCGAGACGTCGACGGAGCGTGAGCTAGCTCTACCGATCAATACAGCGGAAGGTAAGTAACCATCGGGTGTTCGGGATCGGGATCGGGATCAGGACAGGCCGTCGATATCTAGAGTTCTTTTCACTGGACGGCAACTTTTTGTTCCTCTTCTATCGACTAGGTACTTCTTACTATGCCCGTTACTAAATGAACCCCGCGGAAAAATAGCGACCGGGCGGAGAGCCCGTCGATAGGTACTTGCAAGGACTTGCTGCCAGCGAGGCATAGCTCGGATCTCGCGGGTGGCTTTCTTAATTTTTTTTCTCTATAATATATATATATATTTATGAGCTTGAGTTCGTAGCGGAAGGGAAATGTGTGAGAGAGGCCAAGGAAGAAAGAGGATCATGCCAAATGGGAAGGAGCGGCTCTTTTTTTTAAAAAAAAAATTCCTTTTTCTTTTTTCTTCTTTTTTCTTCTTTTTTCTTCTTTTTTCTTCTTTTTTCTTCTTTTTTCTTCTTTTTTCTTCTTTTTTCTTCTTTTTTCCGTAAGGACAAGATGAAAAAAAGAAGAAAAGTACATGGCGAAATAACACTCGAGCGAATTACAAAGCTATAATGTATAGATGTATTTGTATTTGTATTTGTATCTGTATTGGTATCTGTATTTGTATCTGTATTTGTATTTTTATTTTGTAGCCACGGCCTCAGGACAGGACATCCCATCATCCTTACATCGGTAAGCTACTACAGTCAGAGTCTCGAGAAATGAGATTTGCTTGGCTGCGAGCATCTATGGTATGTATCGGTAGTGGGTAGTGGTATTCATCCCTTGAGGAGAGAAGTGAGTATTTTGGTTTTCATCGTACAATACAGTACAGGACAGTACAGTACTATGGAGGAATCTCGGCAGCGAAGTAAAGTAAGTATTCGAGGATTTTTTTGGAAGGGAGATCCTACTGGTTCTGCTGGCACTAGTTGCTTACTGGAATTAGTTCAGGGACTGGACTGGACGGACTTGTTTGCTTGTGAGTGGTAAGTAGATTATGAGGGTGTGGTGAGGTGAGGTGAGGAGAAGGAAGAAGGAAGGACTGAAGGAGGCCTTTATTAGATTCAGGACTAAACCGTACGTACGTGTTTGTTTGGGGCATAGTCATGTATTTTTAATCGAGCGCGGCGAGACGGACTTGAGTGGACGATGATATCATCGTTGACTAAAAGGAGTATGGTATGGTATCATGGTAACGGGCGTCACTCACGGTATCGCTGATAGCTTTAGGCCTGAGGACCTCGATAAGCGAATAAAAGAAGTATTCCTTATCTAAAATCCTCATAATAACGCAGACTAGCCTCCATATGCTACGATAGCAAAGGAGTTACCTAGATATTCACAAAGAAGCAGGCAGGATTAGCCTGGCTAGTTTTAGCTTGTAAATTCCATGAAAACTCTTACTCAAGCCCGTTCTAATCTGATTACCTGTGTAATTTATAATATCAATTCTTTAACTCATTTGCTAATGCTATGGTGGCTTCAGATCGACAGCCGTGAATCATAGTGGGTATCCCTATTTGTGATCTGGCACAATAACAAACATCTCGGCTATTAGGCGAGAAAGCTTGCGTCCGCGCCCCTTTTTTCCTCGCCACCCCCAAATCAAGATAGAAGGTGGGAACCTGCCCGAACAGCGAAAATAATTTCATGATATGTTATAAGGAGTCGCATTTATACATCCGACAAAGACAAGGTAGCAGCCAAGTACCAACGTGCCGGGACCCTGTGGGGAGGGGCGTGGGTTGGAAAAGGTAGTATTTGTGTTGCTAGTTTTAGGCACAGGCCTCCCGTTATACGACGATGTATATTCTCCAGAATCACCTGGGACATTCTCCTAAATTTAGTATGGCCTAGTTTTTTATTTTTTCTTTTCTTGGCGTGAGTTCTAGGAACAATAACGTTTTGGCCGATCAGCTAACTCTCTTTGATGTTGCCGTGCCCAGGTGCCTTGGAACCAGGTCTACCTTGCCATCCTGAGAGCGTTTCCTCGTTTGCCAGATTGAGGCATGTAGTAGCCGGCCGATGAGGGCAGCTAATGATATCGCGCTTGCCGTTTCTCGACGCTGGAGCTGCTCAGCGGGCGCAGTGAGGGAGTGTTGCCGCCGGCCAGTAACAACGGACGCTTAAGCGAATGCTTGAGCGACCGTTCTGGAATTATCAAGATCAGATCCTGATTAATGTGAAGTTTCGGTCACAGAGCGCCGAGCAGTGCAGCAGCGTTACGTACCACGCAACAGTCTTCGTGCACCATACGAGCAGCCTGCTCACACGATCGCCTTTCACTTAAGCCTCGCTCCTAAAGCCCCCGTGCTCAAAAAGCCCCGATTTCCCATTGTGCCCCTCCACCCCAGACTCAAGATCCCAAAGATCAACTTCCCATCTACAGGTTCAACTACCTCCCCTCCCACACCCAACACCTCCTCCACAAGAAAGCACACCTGTTGCACATCCCCCGGCATCAACACCGGGCGCTCCATTTCCTCCCCAACCTCCCAATTCAAACCCTGACCCTTGAAGCCCTCTTTCGTCTCCAGGATCACCACATCTAGCGTGATGGTCTCCTCCCCACAATTCTCAAGCTGAGCCTCCAACGCCCATTTTCTGCCCTCCTTCTCGCCTGAGGGCAACACGCCCGTCTTGGTGCGCACTACCATGCAGGATTTACACACGAACTGGTAGAGCTTCCTAAACGTGCGTATCCGCCCGCTCGTCGGCGTCGTCTCAGAGTACGTGACCGTGACAGCCAGGACGTGACTGCCCTCCTCCTTCAAATCGAAGCCGACGATTTTCTGGAGGCTCTTCCCCGGCTCGAGATCTGATCCCTGGTGATCCTTCTCTAGAACTTTCTCTGGGTCTCTCTCTCCTTCTTCCACTTCGTCGGTTTCGAGCTTCGAGCTTGCTTCTGGGCCTAGGACCAGTGGTATGGGCACGCTCGAGCTCGGGATCTTCATCTCAGCCTCGATCCGCACGTTGGTGATAACCTTTCCTGCGCTGCTGGAGCCAGCGAGGATCTCATTGTTGGCGCACAGTGTGCAGGAAAACGTCTCGCCTACGTATGCGGAGCCGAAGGCAGGTGGGAGGGTGAGGAGGGGCGAGAGGATGAATGGGTCCGGTTTGGAGGAGGGGTAGGCTAGGGACGCAGAGGGCGCGGGAGAGCTGAGATGCGAGGAATTTGAGGAGGGCAAAGGTGTTGGGAGGGGATGTTGGACTGAGAGGGACGGTCGGGACAGTCTAGATGTGTGATTAGAGAGCTGTGTTGAATTGGGAACTGGATTTTTACCGCAGGACTTTGAGGGATACTGCGTGTGGTTCTTTGACGCCGTCCACGATTGAGCCCCTACGCTGGTGTGACATTTTTCTCTCGAGTCTCAATACATAGGCAGTGAGAAGAGTGAAGCTGTATTGCCTGAACATGTAACCAAGTGAGGTCCGGGTTATTAGTAGAGCTCCGTTCTGCAACTCCAGACCGCCCAAAGAAAAAACGATTCTCATGAACGGAACAGAACCTCTTCCGCACCGGGCAACGGTATATTTACAATGGCTAATCTGGAAGATGCAGGCAAGGGAGACAAGAAGCCGGAAGGTTTCCCATTGACGAGGTCAGAAGGGCTCATTCTGGTCATGGATACCCCAAAAGGTAAGGGCTATATATGCTCTTCGACTGCTCGGTTTGCTGCCTCTCAGAGCCACTTTTGGGCTCGCACGCTAAAGAATTGGGCCACAGGACGAGGGGTATTCGCCAGTAAAGATATTCCAGGACGAACGGTCCTCGATGTCTCCCCAGTGCTTGTTTTGGATCCGGTGGAAAACGAGAAACACATTAAAAACACCATGTTGTTCAATTACACATAGTTTGTATCACTTAGTGTGGGAAAGGAACTCGGGCTAATTAACCATTGCAGCAACTGGCCACACACTACTTCTGCAGCTAAGATGAACGACCATGATACGCCTTCAAAATCACCATCGACTACGCAGGCTGTCATCCTTGGTCTCGGAAGCATGTTCAACCACTCAACCCTCCATCAAAATGTCGGCTGGGAGCGAGACATAAAAAACCTTCTCGTAACCTACATTGCACTTCGAGATATCAAGGCCGGAGAAGAGCTGTGTATTTCCTATGGTCAAAGACTCACATTTAAGGATAAGGACGAAGAGGAGATAGAGCCACAGACAGAAGACTGGGCAGATGTCATGAATATAATTGACTTGATTGGTTGATCTTGCGTCTGCACCTAATTCTGTGAGTGGGTCGCGGCATGATTTCTATGGAATGAGGTATCCTGCAGTCATGTACCCTTAGCCCTTACCAAAGCATTGCAAAGTGCAGTAGGCTTCTCAGTTCACATTCCAGGTGGGGGAGGGACCTAAGGTAGTCAGTACAGCCAAGAGGGTGCTCAGTTTTGCCCGACTTACAGAGTTGTAACCTGGGGCAGGGCCTGATGGCGGCGGTGGTGGTGGAGCCTCGGATGGTGGTGGAGGGGGAGCTGAGCCCGGAGCACCGGGAGCAGAACCAGGGGCGCCAGGGGCACCTTGCTGTTGAGCAGCGGCTGCCTGTGCCATGTATGCTTGGTAGTACTGAACATACGCTGCGTATCCACCGTAAGCAGCATATGGGTCGGCACCTCCTTGGCCTTGAGCAGCGTAGTACTGGGCGTACTGAGCTGCATAATCGGCTGTTGCGGTAGGACTGCCAGCACCAGGTGCTGACGTGGTTGTCGGACTCATAGCGCTGTTGGATTGCGGTGCAGGTGAATTGTTATAACCTCCACCATAGCCACCGCCGGAATGGCCGCCACCATTGTAGGAGTTGGAGCGGTCTCCATACGAGTTTGATCTGTCTGGTGCACGATCTCCGTAGCCACGCTCGCCTCCATAACCTGTGTTACCACCATAACCACGAGAAGGTTGAGGGCGGCTCTTGAATTCTTCGTACTGCTCTCTAACATTCTTCAGCAAGTCTTCGCAAAGTTCCTTAGCCTTCTGGACTTCATTAGGATCGGGGCCTCTGTTATAGTCAGTATGGGCATGCAAGCTGTTCAAACGATCACTTACGCAACATGAAGATACATCGTCTCCTCACTCTCTTGACCTGTTCCATACTCCATGAATGCAGAGCCACGTCCCTTGATCTGAACGCGGCAGCGGGTTTCTTGTTGGATGTGCTTCACATAGGCACCAGCAGGACCAACCACTTGAGCACGAAGATTGAAGCCTGGGATTGGTTCAAAGTCAATGGGGATCTTCTCTTCAGGCCATTTGCGCTACTCCGAGTAAGCAGATAACTCTTTATCACAGATTTGGTTGGTACTTACTCTACCAAACTCATCTTTCTCTACTTGTTCTGGCTCTCGTCGACGGAATCTGCGCTCATCAACCAAGTTAGGAAGTTCCTGCTGCATTAGCTCTTCGATCTTCTGGACAGCTTGCTCGAGGCCTTGCTTGGACGTGCTCGTCACGTGAAGGTAGAGAGGCGGATTCTGTGCACTGTGAGTATAGTTTCTGAATAATACGAGAGGATACCTACAGCAGCAGTGGCCATGCTCTTATCGGGGTAGTAGTTTCCGCGGGTAGTGACATCTTAAAAAGTCAACATGAGAACAATCCATGAAATGTTAAGATAACAGGTAATTGTAGCGTACCAGCTCCGGTCTCATCTTTAATCTAAATGTCACGCAGCGGATGTCAGCAGGTGCCAATGAGGGGTTTGTAGTAATAGCTGTTCGGGCTTTAAGGTAAGCTTGAGATTCCCCAATACAAAAGTGTGGTGCTCGTAGCACAAGAAACTGGTGAAAAAGAAACTGGAGGAGAGGATTCTATCTGTTGCAAGCTTGCCATAGCGAGGTGAAGAAGAGCCTGATGTATCAGTGAAATATTAACACAAGGAGTATTTACCATCTTTTGAGTAGCACCTTTGGTCAGTGTATAGCGGTTGCGCAGGTCGTTGACCTCGATATCTCGAATGTAGTCGCCATCTGCAATATACATCTCACCGTTGACTAAGGCTGCGCTGTTGCCTGAGCCCGATCCTGATCCCGAAGCACCTGGAGAAGCAGACTTTCCACCAGCAGGGCTCATTGTTGACCGAATAGGAGGAACGTCAACATGTTGAATACCCTTCTTGGCTTGGAGCTGGGCATTGATTCTGGCAGCCGCCGCAGCTGGAAGGAACGGTTAGCACAAATTGCACGAAATACCTGGGGCTTCTCTTATACCTGCTGCCGCCGCTGGATCCACAGAACTTCTCTTCACCTCGGGAACGGGACTGCCTGAAGGTCTTCCAACAGGGCTTCTGCTGCGTCGCGACTCGTGCTTGACTGCTGGAGGAGAACGCGATCGCCTATCGAATCTCGAGGCTCGCTTGTGCTCCGGCTCCTTCTGGTCGAACCGCGAGCGCTTCGCCGTACGTCTCTCTGTGTCATCCATCGTCGGTGATAGATCCGCCCGAGGGTTGATCGATTGTGGATGGTGGTGGTGGTGACCGATTGTGGACGGTGATGAACGATGATGGATTTTGATGATCGGAAAGGCGCATAAAACTTGGGGGAGGATTGTTCAGTTGAGATGAGGCTGAGACTGTTACCTGGGGTTTGAAATTTAAGTGGAGACACTTAGCTCGACCTTACTAAGCTCGGCTTGGACTAGCTTCACCTCACCCACTCAACTTCCGGAGTGGTATATACTACGTAAAGAGTGAATTTACAGTTCATTCAAAGCGTATTCTCCCCCGACCGAATCAAGATCCATGCCTCTGTACGTTGAGAGCGCTAGTGAAAAAGTCTCTTGGTCTCTTCACATATCTCTGGTCTGATAGCGAGAGACAAGGGTTCTTGAACCGAGCTTTAGCTCTACAAAAGCTGACCTCCCCGCCCTGGAGCTCGTCTTCTATTTCCAATTGGAAAGACAACCTTGGGGCAAACCAAATATTTTCTCTCCTCGCCATCGACGGCCCTCAACTCCCAAGATGGCTTCCAGAAAAGCCCTCTTCGTGCTCTCAGCCCGAGCAATTCGCCCCCCCAGAATACTCACCGCATCATGCCTCGCTCCACTCCAACACCTGCGCGCTGAGTCAACAGCCTCCTCAACCTCAGCTCTCGCATACAAAGCCCTCCACCGCCGCATCTCCCCCCTCCCGACCCCCGACGCAGCGCCCTCTTGGTCCGCCCAAGCAGCCGTCTCCAACATCCTTTACGAAACTCCTACGCCGTCCGTAGCGCCCCCCAAACGTCACATCCTGAACTGCCTCGTCCAGAACGAGCCCGGAGTCCTGTCCCGCGTATCTGGCATCCTCGCCGCCCGCGGTTTCAACATCGACTCCCTGGTCGTCTGCTCCACCGAAGTCGAGGACCTCTCGCGCATGACCATCGTGCTCTCCGGCCACGACGGTGTAGTTGAGCAGGCCCGCCGCCAGCTAGAGGATCTGGTGCCTGTATGGGCGGTGCTGGATTACACCACTGCGCCGCTGGTGCAGAGGGAGCTGCTACTGGCGAAGATAAACATCCTGGGCCCCGAGTACTTCGAGGAGCTGATGGCTCATCACAGAGAGCTCACAAGCGGCGAGGAGGAAGTCCAGGGCGAGGAGTGGGCCCGACGCTCGCAGTCGAACGACTTCCACCCCAGCAAGCTGGCTCTGAGTCAGGCGTTGAGACTGAAGCACGAGCACTTGAAGTCCATCACCTACTTCACACATCAATTTGGTGGTAAAGTTCTGGATATCAGCACCAATAGCTGTATCGTCGAGGTGTAAGTTTGCTCATACTATTCTTTGTTACAGGATTACTTGGCACTGACACACAAGTTACAGCTCAGCAAAACCATCCCGTATTGACTCCTACATGAAACTCATCTCTCCCTTCGGTGTCCTCGAATCCGGTCGCACCGGTCTCATGGCCCTTCCCCGCTCTCCGCTTTACGGCCCGGACGAAAGCGAGTCGGTCAAGGACGCTGAGGAGGTCGTGGACGCTAGCACTCTTCCCCCAGGATAAACTAGAAATTGCCCTACTCAAGTGGATACAAGTGGTTCTGACATATGTAGTTGGGGTCATCTTTTCTGCAAATCAAAACGCTCTGGCATGTGGTACTTTGCCCAGCGAAAGCTGGAGGGAGGATTCAGAAAAATCTGCTTCTATGTACTTACACTGACCGAATTACGCCGGTTCTCAAACGCCTGTCTTATCCCAGTCCTGTGCGCCTGCGGGAAATTGCCGTCTAGACATTGACCCTCCACCGTCCCCATTACTCATTGCCAAACTAGCCTTCAGAAGGTGACACGTGCCCCTATGCCCGAGCCAACATACCAAACTGACTGCCGCCATTGCCCAAGCTTTATTTCAACATTTCCTTTCGCGTCTAATTCCAATGTCCCACCCAAAGCTTTCTTCAATGCTTCATATCCTACCGAACCAAACGACCAATCGACTGGAAGTTTAGGCGTTAAGCTAGGCCCGGGAGGTACCTCGAAAGGTAGGTCGTAAAGGATGTGACCAACTGGATCGGTATGGTTGTAGAAAGCGGTTGCATTGATGCTTTCGATGAACATAGTGCTGTATCTTAGTGGGGAAATTAGAGTGAACGTCGCGGTTGAAGTGAACAAGTGAAAGGTCGCATCGTCAATGAAATGGGGCTTGTCGCTATCGGGTCCGTTTGTGGCCAATCTCGGAGTCGGCACAGTGACGTTGAATTTGCTTAGAGCTGTGCCAAGCTCGGGCTGGTGTGGGATGGAACCTTCGTGAGTCTGGAAGGTCAATGTCGTATTGAAACCCGAGATGTACTGCGACATCAATTCTCGTGCGATGCTCGCTGCTATTTTGCCGCCAAATCTGGATGGGTCCCAGGTAGCCTGTACTACAAGATCCGTATTGTTGCCCGGTCTGACCACTATGTTGCGCGCTGTGGCATCGCCGATTATAGAACCGTTACAAAGGATATGTATGTTTATGTATGGAATCTGAGCGCTGTACTCGCTCGGGTTCGTAAAATTGACTTTGGCTTGCAAATTCAAGGATGTCTTGCTCGTGCTCAAGACCCGTAGGTCACCAACCTGGGGCATGAGTTTCTTGTAGTCGCCGCCTTCAGAGATCGCTAGAACCTCGTCAGCTTTCGGTGCGGTCGACCTGACTAATTAAAACGGTTTCCTAACGTTTTACGGGAACAACTCCTTCGGCAGGAAGTTTCTTGATGACAAGTTCCCCAAGAACTGTAGACACCTCAACATCGACGAGTGCTTCTACCTTGAGCTCAACTCGGCTGCCAACCAAAAGCGACATGAGGATGTCTGTCAGGACGTCATCGTCTGTAACGTAGAGAGGCGCCTTCTCGATTCGAGCTTTGATCACCAGGGCAGCATCCTCTCCTTTCTTTGGCTCAACCCGCTCTGAACGTGCATTCTGCCACCTGTGCAGGTTGAGGTCGCCTAGCTTCTTTCCTTTGAAGAAAACTTCGGCACTGGCCCGAACCCTAGTGACGTTGACTCGAAAGTTCATTTCCTTGGGCAGTCCAGCAGTGACGACAATACTGCCCGAAATCTGAGGGTTGGCTTCATCTGATCCAGGGTCCGCGTAAGAATCAGGAAGGAAGAACTTGGTATCGGTGAGAGAGAATTCCTTGATAACCTTGTCGAGGCTATGGCCAGGAAACGGCACTGGGACTGTAATACTTGAAATGATCTTGGTGATCCAGTCAGGCGTGTTGGAATCCGGGGCGTTCGAGCCTCGGACGAAAATGGTAGTATCATTTCCATGAACGTAATTATCAAGCAAAAGATCGAGAGGCGAGTCATGGGAATGCGGACAATTTTGGACCAAAGTCTTAGGAAGATCGCGAATGATTCCCCCAATATTGACAGCTACGTCTGAGTATGGCTCCGCATCGATCGTTCCAGTTGTGGCGTCAGCCAGCCGAATGTAGTCATCATCCGCATCGCAGCTCTGGACAAGAATGTCAAACCCAAGAGGGGGTATAGAAAGCTTGATAGGGTAGGTGTTTGCCAGAGACAATGAAACATCCGCCGCCATACCACGATGACCGCTAGTGGGAACGGGTACCTCACGAAAGTTGAGACGGGTAATTTTATACTGAGGAATGGCCGGAAGGTCGTTGCCTGAGTAAGTGTTAGCGAAGTACCGACTGACAGTGCTAGCATTCGGATCTGAGAAGAGTTTTAGACTGTTGGTTTCCAATAAACTTATTAGAGTAGACTTGAATACCGAAATGGTCGGGTGAGATTTTGATCCAAACTATCACTCATGCCAGAGTCTTCTCTCCAAAGTACAGGGATGCAAATGATCGGTAGAGAGATTGACCTTCAAAAACCATCGACTCCGAAATGGATTGAGATCCAAGCGAGAAAATCCCAGATTTCAAGCTGAGTGTAGCTTTCCCCAACACCCGAATCTCCCCCAAACGACCTTCTAGCCAGTCATTGGCAACCTGCCGAATACCCTCGATATCTCCAGGTTCCAGATCGGCGAGGAAGTCGATCTCAGTAGTCTGTCCGTTTCGGATATCAACCAGGACGGGAGGAACAGCGGCTGTGCCGAGAAGAACGTTTCCATATTCGGGAAGATAGACCTCAACCTTGGAGAGCTTGCTCTCCACCGCGCGAGCGATCCAGGTTCCAAAACGTCCCATGTTTCTAACATTTTTATTTCCAACCTTCGAAGCATCCAAGCGGAAGTTGGCTCGCACTCGGGCTCTCACGCCACTGGCCGTGAATGAGTCTACAGATAGATTCGTAGGCTCGATAACCATAGCCTCTTTAGCGTATTCCACGGCTATAGCTGGAGCGAAGAAGGCACCCAGGATGATGATAATGGCGAGTACGCCTAAACAGAGGATGGCAACCAGGGTGGGCCATCGACGGTTATCCTTCGACTTCAGCGATCCGCCATTCTGTACCGAGCGCAAGGATCTCGCGGCAGGAGATGCAACTCCACTCGGCTCATGGATTGATGCTCCATCATATCGAGGAGCGCTGTCAGTTCTTAGGAGCAGAGGTGTGTTCTCGAGCGGTTCTTGAGAGTGGTTCGTGCTCGGCTGCTTGGGGCTGCCTAGCAAAGGCGAAGAAGGACTGTCGGACATTGTTGAGATTAGATGTGTGTAAGGTTCTAGGGTTTTCGAGATGTTGTCGGTTGACGCCAGCGCCCTCGTGGAGTTGTGAGGTTCTTGTTAGGTATCTGGTGATGGTGGTAGTGGTGTTAAACGAACGAGCAGGAAGGAAGCTGGTTGTTGTTGAAGATAACGCGGAGCATTCGTAGACTTGGGGCTGAGTCTATCTTACTTGTCGTCAAATAGAGTTTCAGGAACACTCAGTCACTGATCTTCAAGTAAGGACGACTGAGTTGGGTATTCGTATGTGGACTGGCTGGGCTCTAGGGACCACCACCAGCACCTACTTTGATACATCTGGGAGAACATTCGTGCTTATTACTCAGATCTCGACAGATACAATCAACCAATACAACCAACAGGGGTGGGGTGAGTTCGGGGGGAGCGATCCGGCCGAGAAGGCTTGGCAGTCGACGAAGAGTATCCGTAGATCCATGCTTGCACCTTCAAAAAAGAAAAAAAGAAACCTCCAGAGGAACTATTCCTACTTTTCAATCCAACTTTTCCTTGAATCACAGACCATCTCGAGCATCATGCCTCCTCCCATGGCTCGTCCAGCTCGAGCAGCTCTCCAACAGCTCTCCAACAAGACGTTTTCGAAACGCTGCTACTCCCTGGCACCTTCGCCCTCTACTCCAGTGACCTCTCCATTCGCCCCCCGCCATCTGCTATCCATCGCAGACCTGACACCCGCCGAGCTCACCACTCTTGTCCGCAATGCCTCGTCCTCGAAGACAGCCATCAAGTCCGGTTCCACCCCGCGCAACCTCCAGGGCGCCTTGAGCGGCAAGACCGTAGCAATGATGTTCAACAAACGCTCAACGCGCACACGCGTGTCCACCGAAGCAGCAGTCACAGCCATGGGCGGCCACCCGATGTTCCTCGGAAAAGACGACATCCAACTCGGCGTCAACGAGTCCCTCTACGACACCTCGCTGGTCATCTCCAGCATGACGTCCTGCATGGTTGCGCGAGTCGGTCCTCATTCCGACGTAGCGGACTTGGCCAAGAACTCTTCAGTGCCCGTAATCAACGCCCTGTCGGAAGACTACCACCCTCTACAAACCATTGCCGATTTCCTCACCATCCACGAAGCGTTCCCCTCTTCTGCCGTAGGAGCATCGAGTTTGGGTCTTGAGGGGCTGAATATTGCATGGGTTGGAGACGCGAACAACGTTCTGTTCGATCTTGCAATTGGTGCTATAAAGCTAGGGGTGAACATCTCGGTCGCTGCGCCAAAGGGCTACGAGATCCCCGCCCGCATGCGCGACATCATCCTCTCTTCCGCTCAAGGCTCCTCGTCCCCAGGCAAACTTTCAGAGACCAATGTCCCGGAGGAAGCTATCAAGAACGCAGATATCTTGGTTACCGATACCTGGGTGTCGATGGGCCAGGAAGAGGAGTCGGCCAAGAGAATAAAGGCATTTGCTGGGTACCAAATCACAAACGAGTTGGCGAAAAGGGGCGGCGCGAAGGAAGGATGGAAGTTCATGCATTGCTTGCCTAGGCATCCAGAGGAGGTTGCCGATGAAGTGTTCTACAGCCCCAGGAGCTTAGTATTCCCAGAGGCGGAAAATAGGCTCTGGGCTGCTATTGGTAGGCATTCCATATCGGCAATCAATGCGTTGTGTTGCTGACTTCAATTTAGCTGCTCTGGAAGGATTTGTTGTCAACAAGGGGATACTTGTACCTTGATTGATGAATTTCTGCACCAAACCCAAGTATTTTCCGAGATAGAACCATGCTTCGTCTCGAAAGGAGTGGTGGGCACGCGCTCAAATCCTGCTGCAAGTGCCCTGCTAAAATGCATCGCTGGATCCCACGATGTTATGATGATACCCAGCACAAATGACCGGCGTTCAAAATGGCATCATGAATGAAAGAAATTCGACGTTGTTCAGCTCAAGCATATATTCTGTATATCTTTTCTTAAAACGAGTCTCCATATCATGGCAAGTTAATGTGTGAATCGCACCCCGAAAGCAAATGGGTATTTCTCAAGCAACGCCTTTGACCATCGCCCCTCTCCGCGTTCGATCCGATCTGATGATGATTTGAAGCATCATAAGACCTTGACTGTGTCATAAACCCCTCGACCAATGTCTAGCAACGCCATCCTACCTCGTATGGTCGAAAGTAGAAGTCCCATACCCCTTTGTCTTAGCCCACAAATCCACCGTATACTGAAATCACTCAAATTTCCACTCGTTCAGCAGTCATCGTCGAAAGATCAGTATCCGCCATATGCTCCGTATCTACGTTCTCTCATACCTCCGTGACCAGCTCCGCTAAACTCACTTCTCGCCCAATATTGATGATAAGTCGACGTGTCTCGCTCACCACTAATACCAAGCTCCCCAGCGACGTTTACATAGCCCTCCTCGTTGACCTTCCCGGCCCCACCCTTGGCGATTTGCCGCTTAAGATTATCCACGTCCCCTTTCCAAGGAGTTCGGCAGTACACGCATTTGGCGGTACCAGGCTTGCTTTTGGCCCACTGCTCGAAGCAGTGGCGATGGATATTGTTGCCGCACGAACCCTTGCACCACACAATGTCCTCGGATTTGTCCTTCTCGTCGAACTCCATGACGCATACGGGGCAGTCGCCTTCGATGGGCTTGCGGGAGCCGCCGGTGTCGGTCGCGGTGGAAGCAACCGCGTCGGACGATTGGGGTGTGACGGGTGCGTTAGCGAAGATCTCGGCTACTTCGGTGCTCAGAAGTGCAAGTTGATACGCAAGGTTCTCGGGGGCTTTGAGGACGTTCACCATGACCTGTTCTGTGATGAGCATTGAAACACTCATCTCGCGAAAGTTCAGCTTGGCATGGGAACATACGTAGATGATATGCTTGCACTGGTTTCCCTTGGACGCATCCGGACAGGTACACCTCGGGACCTTGCCGATAGTGACCTGATAGATATTGCCTGTGCTTCCAGCAATATCGAACTTCTCTTCCTCACCCATCCCGTCCTCGCTACGGTGCCTCTGTCGATCAATTAAAAACATTCGCTGACATCTAACACGCTCCAATCGCTCCAGATAGGTAGCTGGCGCCTTCTGTCTGAATCGTCGGAGACGCTTCTCCTCAACCTCATCCCCCTTACGAGCTCGCTTGGGCTTGGATGGTCCGATACCAGCCATTTCTTCTCGGGCTTCAGCGGCGGCGAAAGGGTCTTCCTCGTCTTCGTCTTCTTCGTCTGGGATTGGAGATCGGGCTTTGCGTTTGCGGGGTTGGAACTTCTTTGATGGGTTTGGGACTGGAGTAGTGGATTTGACACTCTCGATGCTAAGGACTTGGGCCATGTACGCTGGCGATGCTGCTGTAGGGAGATCTTGCGTGCTCTTCTTCGATGCGCCACTCCGGCCAAAGTAGGTATACGAACGCGGCGCCATCTTGTTGGTATCTCGAGATTTCGATGGTTTCGATGGTTTGGTGTCAAATCAAACTTTCAAAGGGTTCTCTCTCTCTCTCTCTCTGATCTCTGTATGAGGTTGATCGCGCCAAGATTTCTGGCTACGCCAAATCACAGGACTCCCTCACTAATCCAATCGCGAATTAGTGCCTTTTCCCCATGTTTATCCGTATAAATACCTCTCCCGGCACGTCTTGCTCTCTTCCTTTTACTTTTCTTTTTAGTCTTTCGGCATTCACCTATACATTCTGCTTTGGCTCATTGCGACCTTTGTCGCAGTGGACGTCGAGTCCTCTCCACGTTACCCGGTAGCCTCTGTCATATTCACGAATTGCCGAGAATGATACATAGGCCTTTTATAATCCTGCCGAGTGCTCGAGGTTTTACTCTGTGAATCGGCGGGTTCGCTTAGTGCTTACATACGGACCGGTCAAGGGGATTTTGCAGTTTCAGCGGCGGACTGCAGTACGAAAGTGCACAACGACGCTTCTATTATCGTGTACATAGATATAGATCAAAAGACTCGTTGTGCCTCTAAAGAGCAGAGATGAATATTCCCTAGGACATAAACACAAGTTCCCAACTAACCTATCTTCAACCAAAGGCATAAATTATGCATCTGGAAATTCACACAGTCGGGTGATATTCCCAAAAGTTGAGACGTCGAGTCCCGCTATTAGCAGAATGGCATCCTTGAGTCGAGATGTCCGGGACAGGAGTGCTGTTTGGTTTTTGTATAGACCGAAAACGCAAAAAAAACGAGGAAACATGCAGGGCTCGGGCTCAACAGCTCGCTCGTGCAAGTAGAACGGCAAGGGTACATTACCCACTTTTACCAGCCAGTACGAGGTCTCAGGTATGGTCACTAGCACCTAGGTCACTAGCACCTAGGTTACTAGCACCTACTGACCAACCCGCTGGACAGGACAGGACAGGACAGGACAGGTCAAAATACCACCACTCTAGCTTAGTCCCTCCTTCGATTCAATTCTACAATATGTCTGCTATATCCGTTCCGGACCCTACGCAGATCTCTTCATCGAGTGCGTTTTCCCAATTCTTGAAGCTGCGGGCGCTGCGTTTCTGTTAGTACTAACACCGTCCGTCCATTAGCGAAGAAGAAGAACAATAAGAAGAAAAAGAGCGCAAAGGGGAAGGTTGCTGGAGAAGCTGTCAAGGAGCTCGAGGTCGAAAAGGATGCAACCGCAGAGAATGGTGATGGGGAAGGCGAAGAGGATTCGGAGCTCTCTGCGGTGGTACGAGACACCTGTTCATTTACGAATGGTACCTAAGAAAAGGAAGCACTGGTTCTGACTCCAAAGACAGAATACCCCCTGCGATGCGCAATTCCTGGAAACTGTGAGGCCACAGCCGAATGGCCACAGCCATGAATCAACGAGCAATGGCCATGCTGTTGAGAGTCCGGTAAAATCATCGAGCCAGGAGAACAATGCGCAATCGGAAGCAAACCAGGCCAAGACCGCAGATGCCAGCTCCAGATTTGAAGCCATGTCACAAGAACGGGAGGCTTTACGTATCGAGGTGGAGCAATTGCGGAAGTCGTTGGAGGGTATACAAGGGAAGCACTCCGAGGAGATATCCGCAATCAAAGACCAGCACGCCGAACAACTGTCAAATATTGAAGCGAAACACACGGATGAGGTATCCATAATTAAAGGCCGGCATGAGGAGGAGGTCTCTACAATCCGAGCCGAGCTTGAAGAGACCGAGTCTGCGAAGGACCAGGCAGAGACGCAATACCAGTCCCTCCTTGGGCGTATCAACACGATAAAATCGAGTCTGGGTGAAAGATTGAAGGCAGACAAGCAGGAACTTGCCGAGGCCAAGGACCAAATCGAAGACCTTGAGTCACAGAACAGATCCCTCCAAAACAAGGTGGCTAGGCTTGAGAGCGAAATCAAGCGGTTGGAGCGGGAAGCTCAAGAGAGCTCGAAGGAGCTCTCTAGCCTGCGTAATCGACATAACTTGTCCCAGCAAAACTGGGTTAATGAGCGAGAAGACTTTGTGCAGCAGACAAGACAGTTAAGGGACGAGGCTGAAGCTGCCAAAGAGGCTATGGGAGATTGGGAGGTTCTCGCACTGGAGGAGAGGTCAATGCGGGAAGGTTTGGCTGAGAGGATCAAGGATTTGGAAGAACAGTTTTCCATACAAAAAGAGGCATACGAGGAAGCTGTGTCCGAAAGGGACAGCCAGTCGTCAAACCTAGAAGGCTTGCAAAGAGCCCTGAAGGAAGTACAAGAATCTCGCAAGCGAGAGCTCCGAGAGATGGTAGAGTCCTACGAAGAGCAGCTTCAGGGTCTCAAGAAAACTCTTCAAGAATCTGATTCTCGAGCCACCGAAGCCGAAGCATCAAAGGGTGCTATGCAGACTGAGCTTGAGCGACTGGTACCTTTCGAGAAAGAGATCAAGGAGAAAAATCTTCTGGTCGGAAAGCTGCGGCATGAAGCCATTATTCTGAATGATCACCTGACGAAGGCATTGCGATTTCTCAAGAAAGCGAAGCCGGAGGATAACATCGATAGGTAGGGCCGGCCTTATTGTGATCGAATATGTCTGGCTAACTTTTTCACGAGGCAAATCGTCACCAATCACTTCTTGCACTTCCTAGCTCTCGACCGCTCAGATCCAAAGAAGTTTCAAATCCTGCAATTGATAGCGTCTCTGCTGAATTGGACTGACGAGCAGAGAGAGCAAGCCGGTCTCGCAAGACCAGGCGCGTCGAACAGTAGTCTACGCTTGCCAGTATCATTTCACCGTACTCCAAGTACCCCTTCACTGTCCTCGGAGTTTTATAATGAATCTGCTGCCAACAAGGAGTCATTGGCAGATCTGTGGACGGGCTTTCTCGAGAGAAGTGCCGAAGAAGGCTCTGCTACCGGTAGTAGGAGTGGCAGTGTCAGTAGCTCGACCGTGCGTCCGGATACGAAAGGTGGCGATGGGTCATCGAGAGGGTAAGGATGTCTTGAGTACAGATCTGCTTCTTGTATTATACAACATTGCGAAGGGCGTTGGGTGTAAGAAGCGATTGGCTGGCTGCCTCGCAAATTCATTTCACGCAATATGCCATTATAAATTGAGCAACCTCAGATATGACAGACAGCATTGGACTCCTAGTGACGCGGAGGGGGATCCGCTTGGCTCCATATCCAGTCGTGTTTTCCCTTGAGTGCCTGGCAAGTCAAGTCAAACTGCTCTATAGCGTGAGATTGGCAGTATCGAATCCGACTCACCTTTGCTCTGGACTCGCCGTCATATCTGTGCGATATGCTTCGTCTCCATATAATTACTTAGGCAGAGCCAAGACTGAGCTTAAAGCAATTTTTTTTCTCTGCATGAGAATCGACAACACTATTTCCTCAATACCGTCAGCGAACATTTGCAATGGAATTATGATGCATGTTTCGGAGTATGCATCTGCAGCAGATACAGAAGATCCTGGGTTCTTGACGCCTGTGGAATCGGATTGGAGCTTTTCAGGGACACATAGATGGAAGCTTTCTGGCTCTTAACATAGGCCTTGAATCTGAGCCTGGTTCCACTTTCAAATTAATCTAGTCTACATATCCCACAGACTTCATCTCGAAATTCGTCTTACAGAAGCCTGCGTCCATTGAAGGAGAAGACGCAGACGGAAGCCCTTGCGGACGAGGACCTGGGTTGGGTGATTCTTATTATGCCGTTCTGATAGGGGTCTCCCGCGGACATCAAATTCCCCCTCCTCCCCCACCCATCAACGAGCCATGCGCCATGTAATAGCATCTTCTTGACAGATAGCACGTCACTGTATATCTGGAGAGGATCTCGCTGTTTTCTTTGGAGGTGGGGAGGCGAGATCAAGATGACCCTTACGCACGCCACTATGTAGTTTCTTCATAACTCCCGGCTCGGTATCTTTTCAAGCAAGAGAGCTTGGGAAGCTGGATTTCTCATCGACGACTGAAAGTCGCTTCTGCGTGGCTTCAGCACAGAACAGATGGAAGCTTATGGATCATGGTGGGAGAAACAGTGAGACTCAGATACAGTATGAGACTCAGACCGACCGAGCGAGCCTCTCCTGCGACCTATTCTTACACCTAAGCAGACGAAGACGGGACTGAAAGCTCTAACCACTTAAATTGTATCTTCTAGATAATGCTATGCTACGGAGTAAGTTTGATGTACATATCAGAATCGAGGATGTTGTAATTGGAAGTCAAAATAGCACCTGGAACAACTCCTTTATGGTTAGGTACGAAAGCGACATTCACCCAGCTGGAACACATAGATATCCTAGCTGTCAACACCGAACCTGGCCAGGTATCAGGACTCTGGCTCGACTTCGCCGCGGATAACTTCTTCACTGGTAATGTTCAAGTTGTGTAGAAAATCCCGTTGCATCTCGTCACTACCACTATTGATCCTTCGCCTTCCGACGCTAAGGGACAGCAGACTATGTGCTTCGGTTGCGGTCACGATAAGGAGAGCATCGAAATTGGGATGGAGTCGCCACTGCACCCACCCCGCCCCCTTGGTTGTGGAGGCGGTCCCAGGCGGAAACAACAGCATCTTCCTAGATCCAACATTCCTCTCCGCCACTTGACAATCACACAAGATAAACGCGCAGAACATCTATTCAGAGGCCAAGAATGGGTCTCCAACCTTTCTCTTGTTAGCTTCCAAAGTTAATTGAACCCGGAGTGTCATCCCTGGAGTCTTCATCGGCTTTCTTGCGGGCGTGTTTACCACCCAGAATTAAGCGATTCTGAAAAGGGGTCGTGCCAACCAAGCAAGCATTAGGGATCCCCATAATCCGCCCTCAATATGGGATTCCAATCACACTTGATCCGTAAAATCTGGCAGTATTCCAGCCTATGTATGCTGATTCGAAAATTCGAAGTCCTAGCCCCAAGTGAGATCCAGAGACAGAAGCGCAAGGTAGCAAAAATACAACCATATGGAGCATCCTTGGCACGCTAGCATGAAAACCCCACTAGCATCTACATAAACCGAATTACAAGGTGCAGTATTCAGAAAGAGGCGTCAAACAGACAACCCGGCTAGCCCAGCCGTAAAGAGTGTATGCCTTAGAAAAAGAATGTATGAAAACACTATAAAGAAAAAGATCAATATGGCAATCAAGTGCAAAGAATAAAAAAAAAAACCTCATCTTCAAAACCCAACAGGGTTTCTATGGAGCAGCTGTTCTGCGGCTGCTCCGGAGTTTTGCTTCTCTCTTTTTCCCCCTTTTTCTTGCTTTTCCATCTTCTTTTTTTTTTCTTTGCGAATTTCGCTGTCGTGATTTCGAAATACTTGCCGGCTAAGGGAGGCCTTCGACTTGTGCAGTGGCTCGCTCCTATGCTTGACATAACTGCTGCAGCGACGTCGGGGGGAAACCCTCTCCCATACACTTAGTTCACCAGTAGAAATAGAACTAAACAGTGAATTTCTTCAAGTTGAAACATATGAAGTGATCATGGAGAAGACTTCAAGACTGGGCAGCAGTATGGAAGAACCGATTAACGCGGAGATGGTATTTTTTTTTTAGATATACTTCTCCAGTATTTAAGAATTCCAAAAGAGGCAAACTCGGTAAATATAGGAGGCTTCAAGTTTCGTAGGAAATCCGTGAAAAAGATAAACGGAACCGAAGTCTTTCATCGGCCTCACTGGCCGTGGCCGAGGATAATTCGATATAAGCTGTCACATCTGAGAGTAGAGATTCTTCAAGGTAGACAGGGAGGTACAAAATAGAAGCATACTTCCAGTGGCCCCAATAAGAAAGCTCAAGCCTCAAGCATGATCTAGGTAGTAGACTCTCTAAACGGTAGTAGAGAATCCGCGGCTAATACTACAATATCTGGGCCGCTAACAGCAGGGGTTGTCGAGCTATCGAAACCCCAAGCGGGTCTCTATCAGGATTGCGCCGGAGAGACAGGGAAGCTGATGGTAGGATTTTGTGGAGTTTTGCGGACCAGAAAGAAGGGTTTTGGAATGGCGGATAAGATGTAAAAGTTGAAGGTCGAGAAGGGGAATGGGAAGGAGGCTTCTGAGATGAAGACGTAGGGCGAGGAGGAGGAGGATAAGGAGGCAAAGGATGGAGAAGAGAGCGAGTGAGATATTTATGACCCAGTTCCAAGTGTTACAATAAAGATTTGTTTATCTCTCGATTATATCATAATGCTCGGGTCAATATGCATAGCGTTTTCGAAAGCAAACAGGCAATTAGGCATGTCCGTATGCTTCCTCAGTCTCCCGTGTCAAATGCAAAGTGACCTTTTGGCGACCAAACGCCAAATCCGAATCTAATAAAGCTACTGCTCCTCTAATCAAGGAGATATTCTCGAATCCCCCAAAACCTCGAGCTCTAAAACTCTCAAACTACTTCTCTTTGACCCGTACACCTCGATGCTCTCAACACCCAGCAAGCCCGCTCCACTCGCAGTCCCCTCTCTACATACCCATTAGATCCTCACACTCTCTAAAACCTACAAGCTTCGTCTGAACAGTCCTCTGCGCCATATTCCGAGCCCACAGTCGAAGAGTCACAAATACTTTTGGGACATAGGCCTTGCTAAAAATATGCAAACAATAAGGTGCTCGCAATCTGTGAACCCGAGGCCGAGTCACGAGAAGAAGGTGAAGAAGGTGAAGAAAGAGGGAGTAAGATGAGCGGCCTGGTATTGTGAAGCTAGGAGGACTTTTAACAGGTTTCAAGAATCGAAGTTGGGGATCAAACGGGCTGCCGTTGGAGAGGGATTTTCGTTGGGGTGGGTAGGGATGAGAGAGCGGATGGGGGTCTGGATGATAGCAGGTACCTGACTAGTACCGTGGACCTGGTGATTGACAGTTAAGAGAAAACGATGGAATTATAGAGGCGAAAAAGACGGATGCAAGGACGTGGGGAGATAATATGCCAGGTGAGAGACTCTGTCCTTATTTACTTGATGTCTTTTGGATCAGAAATCCAGACAATACCCTCGGTCTCTTTACTTTGAAACACAATGGTGCTGGTGTGCGGAATGGGGTATGGCGAGATCGAGGTTTGAATATGGCAATAGTAGTAGTGGGGACAAGGATATTATTGCATATATTTTGAGGGCTTTAAGCCTGGCTTGGATCGAACCAAGTCTCAATCAGGGCTGTATAGTGACTGGTACGCATTAGTGCAATATATCATCTTTGGTTTGTATGCATTCCTCAGACCTAATTAGCTCTCATGCTCCTTCGAAGTCCTAGAAATGAATATGCAAGATTGATAGTATTGCATGGCATCTATCTGAGCTAGTCATAAAGACCCTTCTCAAACCTTTCAGTGTCGTAGAACAAAGCGGAAATAGTATTCCCGTTGAATATTCGTCCCTCGAGTGCATTGACGGCCTAGAAAATGTTAGTTCGTACCTTCAGTAATCTGGTGAAACGCTTACCCTCAAGCCCGATAGCTGACTTGTAAATTTGACGAAAACCTTGGGGGTAGCTCCATGCCGATCGATGTATACCCGTTCCACTCGACCATACTTCTCAGCACACTCGTCACCAATTTCTTGCATTAAGCCTCCGTCTCCAGAGCCCTCCACTTCTTCATCAAGATCCATGCCATCGACCATGCCACGAAGGACAATGACTTCAGACATTGGTCCAAATTTCCCCACTTCCTCTTCCTTCTCAGGGACATTCTTCTTCCCTCCGATAATCTTACCCCTGCCACCTGGCTCCCGGAATCCACCGCCTTCAGCATCAGATTTCTTCTTGCGCTTTTCTATCTGCACTCGAAGGGGATTGACGATTCCAGATTCCTCGGCACCCAAACCCTTGCCTTTGCTCCATCCATACTTCGACATGAGACGTTCGGCAAAGCCTCTTTGACCTGGTCGTAGTGACCTCGGGGCTTCTTCAGCGTCTTCGTCCTCGTCTGGCTCTGCAGCTAAAGCCTTCTCTAGTTCTGCATCTGAGCTAGGAATCTCTGCTGGTGCTGGTGGCAGGTTGTAACGGACTGGAGCGCGAGATATTGCACCTGCTGGTAGAGTCTCAGGAGGAGCTGGATTGGCTTCAGAGGATGGTGGCGGAGGCGGTACGGCTATGTTCGTGTGTAACTCGACCTTGCTCTCTATATTTTCAACCGGTTGCTTGGGAGAATCGATAGGAGGTGGTGCAAAGGAATAATTCGGAGGCGGAGCGAATTGTTCTGGATTGGTCAGCAAAACGCAACCTTACGCAGAGAAAGATATTTGGCTTACTGCCCATTTGTGGACGGTACTCTTCCTCGTCACTATCTTTCTCGCTTGATTTCCTAGCCATCCTATGCGCGTAAAGCCTGTCCTTCCACTCTCTAACCTCCCGAATCTTCTCATCACTGTGTTTGTACTCCTCGTAACTATTCGGCCGTGATGGATCATAGATATCATCCCAGTCTTGAACAGCGATATGTTCCTCTCTTGGCTTGTTCTTCTTGCGCCGTTTTCCACCCCTCTGCCTCTTTTCCCCTCCATAGAAGCCATTCACATCATCGTCGTCTATCCCAGTCCAATCAGCCAGCGTAGTCTTTGCTGGTGGTCGCTGTGAGCTTGCAGTTGCAGGTAATTGCTGCGAGACGTTGCGCGAAGCATTTGCATCGACTGGTGTGGCCTTTGGGAATGCTGGTTTTGGTTTAGGTTTCTGCGACAATTGCGGTCGTTTCGTAGGTTGAAATCGTAAAGCTGCTGTAACGATGAATGAGCATAATTCAGCGATTGAAATTCTGAGAGAAAACCCATACTAGGATCCAAGGGCTTCTTAGCTGAACCTTCCTCTGCTGCATCTGGTTGCTTAAAGATGACAGGTGCTTTTGATATTGTTCCAGGAGCAGTAGAGTCGGCATCTAGTAGATTTGCATATAATGAAAGGCCTCCTGCCCTCGGCGTAGGCGTTTGGTTAGCAGAACTTGACATCTTGACCACTTCCGCAATGGATGTCGCAGTCCGAATTGGTGATTTCCAAGTTGGAGCGCTCTGAAGTTTCAGCCTCATTGAAAGGCGAAAGGAAGATTAAGATGCATGGGGCTAGTCAGCAGCGATAAAGCTCTCTTTTACCTCGGCGATAAGCCCTACTTCCTACCTATAGGTACCTACCTACATCACCACAATACCTCCTCGGGCCTGCATCACGAAAAATCCAGTTTCAAATCCCAATCAGAAGCTAGTCCTTCTAATTTCAAGAATTCACTCTCATATTATTCAATTCTCTACTTAATACTCCATCCACATTCTCGGTTAAGAAGGACGTTGTAAACATCGACTTGTATTACATTTCACAATGGCCGCTACCACCTTGTCCAACTCCTTCTCAGCCGGAGATAATTCCACGGCGATCATAATCCCGTCTAAGCCCTATCCTCTGGTCGTATCCTACAAGCAACTTTCCGCCGAAATTCTCTCATTCCAGGAGAAGCTCGCAAAGCTCGGCGTCACTCCCCAAGCCGCCGTCTCAATAGCCCTCCCAAACACGTACGAATTTATCGTTGCTTTTCTGGCTAGCGCATGGCAAAGAGGTATCGCCGCCCCTCTAAATTCAGCATACAGGCAAGAGGAATTCGAATTTTACATTGACGACCTGAAATCGGCCGTTGCGCTTGTGCCAAAGGGCTCATATGCCAAAGATGGGGCTGCTGTACGAGCAGCGAGGAGATATAGTGCTGCTGTTGCAGAATGCTATTGGAATGGCTCTGAGGTAGTCTTGGATGTAAAGGAAGAGGGAAAGCTCAAGGGGAAGGGGAATCAGAAAGTCGAGACGGCCCGGCCAGACGATATCGCCCTGGTTCTCCATACCAGCGGTACTACGGGCAGACCAAAGGCCGTGCCATTGACACACAAAAACCTGACCCGGACGATGAAGAACATCAAAGCCACATACGACCTTACGCCAGCTGACAGAACCATGCTCGTCATGCCTCTCTTCCACGTTCATGGCTTGCTGGCTGGCTTCCTCGCCCCCCTCTTCAGCGGCGGCTCCGTCGTCGTGCCCCCAAAGTTCTCAGCATCAGAATTCTGGGATGAGTTCATCGCCCACGGCGCGAATTGGTACACTGCTGTGCCCACCATTCACCAAATCCTCCTCAAGAACCCCCCACCCCATACTAAACCCAAGATCCGCTTCATTCGCTCATGCTCCTCTCCGCTCTCCCCGACGGTTTTCCACCAGCTCGAAGAAGCATATGACGCTCCAGTCCTAGAAGCCTACGCCATGACTGAAGCCGCTCACCAAATGACCTCCAACCCTCTGCCTCCTGCAAAACGCCAACCTGGCTCCGTGGGTATTGGCCAAGGAGTCGAAATTCGTATCCTGGACCAATCTGGCAAGGAAGTTGCTCAGGGCTCCGAAGCCGAAATCTGCATCCGCGGCGAGAACGTCACAAAAGGGTACCTCAACAACCCTGAAGCGAACAAATCCTCCTTTACGGCCGACGGATTCTTCAGAACCGGCGATCAAGGCAAGAAAGACAAGGACGGGTACGTGATTATCACCGGCCGGATCAAGGAGTTGATCAACAAGGGCGGAGAGAAGATCTCGCCTATTGAACTTGACAATGTCTTGGCGAGACATCCGAAGGTGGGAGAGGCGGTTAGTTTTGCGATCCCGGATGAGATGTACGGGCAAGAGGTCGCGGTCGCTATTGTGCCGAAGACCGGGGAGAAGATTTCGGAGCAGGAGCTGAAGGAGTGGGTTGCGGATAAATTGGCGAAGTTCAAGGTGCCGAAGAAGGTCTGTCGATGTCTCTCTCTTCCCGTCAACGAATTTCCAGCTCCGAAAACCATTACTCGATCCGGGTACTAATTGTACGTCACTCTATCCAGGTCTACTTCACTGATAACATGCCCAAGACCGCAACGGGTAAAGTCCAGCGCCGCATCGTAGCCGAGATAATGATGAAGCAAGACACGCCAAAGGCTAAGCTTTAAACGCTTCTTCTCCTCTTCTCCTTATCACTTTTTCTCCCTTTTCTTACTTCGAACCTCAACCAAAACTCGTCCCGAAAGACAGCATAGACAGTCGGATGGACGGAGGGTTGGAATCCATGCATCTCAGTGCGTATGCCGATACCAAAAATTACTGTATCAGTATGTACAATTTCGTAGAAGGAGAAACGATAGAAACAATATAGCATGATGACGAAGAACGTAAATGTCCCGAGACGAGACAACCCTATCGAGCTCCACCACAACCCGTCTGTCTGTCTGTTTCTCACCACCTTAGATTCATCCCATCTTTCACACGCCACCCAAGCCTATATATGTGTAAACCTTTCTCTCCACCAAGCGCAAGGACAGAGAGAAAAAGAAAGCTCCCCCTCTACTCTGAACCCAGGCGAAGAACGGACGGGCCCCCCGCACGCGACACAGGCTCGATAAGGAACAAGGCTGACGAAATAGGTAGCCACCCTACATACCGGTATCCCAGCCGTATTAATTAAGAACCAGCATCGGCATCAGCTCCGTCCCCGAAGGGCCCCGAGGGGGGGGGGGGGTCACCGAAGCATCCAAGCAGCATCCTCCCCGGGTCGGATATTATCGTTAATCTCGGCGCGCAGGCGCCGAACAAAGTCAGCCAGAGGTCAGGAGCGGCGTGACCGGTGATTGGATGGGTGATAGTCAGTGCGAATCCGTAGGTTATAACTTACTACTATACTTAAGGTAGTGAGTGCACTGACTATTGGTGTTTTTTGGGGGGGTAGGGGGGGATTGTGTGAACACGCAGATTGCAGACGTACAGAGGTACCGGTACAGCGCTGAAGTGTTGTAACCCTTGCTACTCCACAGCCACTATGCTAACCTAATTGACCAATAACCTGAGCTTAATACGAAGTAAAGTACTACTACCGGTATTACTGCGTAAGGCTTTTCGAGATTCTATAAGGTTCCGTGCTTAAGGTAAGTTATTGGTCAATTACTACTACCTAGGTTAGAATAGTGGCTGTGGAGTAGCAAGGGTTACAACACTTCATCGCTGTACCTCTGTATACCGGTATTCACAATGTAAATGATGACCAATAACGTTGGGAATCACACTCAATAGGCGAATTTATTGACGAAGAAACAATGTACAAGGCGATTGGATTCTAATGTCTCACTGTCCTCCATTTTGGCCCCCTCAAGCAAACATCCCAAAGCACCTGCAACCACCGTCACCAGTTCCCTGCCAAGTCCGCAATGACATACTTTGATTATACGTAACTTCGGGGGAGAGAGCGCAACCATAAGGAGAAGTATGCAAAGTCGGGGCAGAGCACATCAGACCAATTCCCCATCCCGCACCCAGAATGTTCGTTCCTATTAAAGTTCGTACGAAACGCTCCATGTATGATGAGCTGCGTTTTGCCGAGAGTTTGTAGCAATAGGTAAGACAAAGAAAACATGGCACATTAAGTCTAAGGAGAGCGAAAACTCAAGAAAATGCCGACGTCCCAGTGCCTTACAGCAAGAGCTGCAACAGGCCGCCGAGAATAGAGAAGGCCGCAACAGCCTCGCTAATACCAAACGACGAAGCGGCGCCCTTGGTGCCTGATCCGGACGAAGACCCATCTGATCCGGATCCGTCGGAGGAAGTGCCGTCCAAGGAGGAGGTGGTAGCGGTCGTCTTGCAAGTGAAGGTACCTTGGATGATGCTGCCCTTTCCGCCGGACTGGGCCTTGAAACCTTCACAGTCGATAGCTTGTTGGGATTGAACGTTGAAACCACCCTTGATGTTGGTGAGTTCAGGCAGCTCGGGGCTGTAGAAGCATGTCAGTTGTGGATAACCAGAGACAGATGGGGAGTACAAACGTAGTAAAGTTTCCAGAGAAATCAATGGCACCTCCAACTGATGTCAGACTTGGGAAGCTGATGGCATCAAGAGCAGTGTTGTTGGCAATCTGATTAGCACCTCCAACACTCTTCAGGAGCGGGAAGGAAATGTTGGCGAGTTTGCTATTAGCAACGAGAGCCAATGATCCAGATCCGGTGGCGAAGTTACCGACCGAGGTCAAATTAGGTGCGGCGATGCTGCTCATGTAGTTTCCGTAGAATCCGAGGGATCCGTTGATGGTAGCCAGCGACGGGATCTTGATGCTAGAGATGTTTCTGAAGGTCATGTTGGCAGCCCAGACCAAGTTGGGGAAGGTAACGGCCAACAGGTTACCATTGGCGTTAATATTCAAGGTCTTAGTGATGTTGCCAATCTGGGTGTCGAATTGTTTCAAGTTGTTGTTGTTATCAATCTGCAGAGTGTCGACGGACATGAGGTTGATACCGCTGAGCGTACTCAAGAAGGTGTTGGAGATGGTGACGCTGTTGGCATCGGACAGGGGCCCGTTGAACACGAGGTTTGGCAGAGCTGGAAGAGCGATCCAATTGATAGAATCCACCTTGGTCAATGTGGTCATCGAGAGGGTAGATAGAAGCGTCAGGTTGTAAAGGTGGAAAGAGGCTCCAATGGTAGTGAGGGTTGTGCTTTGGATGCTGACCAAGTTGCCAGCGTTTTCACAGCTCAAGTTTCCTGCGATCTCTTCGATACCGCTGAGATCAATGGTGCCGGAAGCAGAGGAGCCGATGACAACGCTGCCAGACATTGTCGAACATCCTGAGTATTGGGCAACATCGGCTTGTGAGTTGATGGTCGCGACGTCTTCAGAGCAGGCGGAAGAAGTCTGAGCTGGAGAGAGGGAGAGCAGGTCAGCCGAGTTCCATCAAAAGTGAGGCTGGGTGGTGTCTGTCGGATTGCCCTCCGACCCAGATATTCAATGCTATAAGACTGTCCAGTGGATGTGCGAGCCCAGGAAGCGGTGGATATGGGGATGGATGGGAGGTAGGATGTTGTTGACTTACCGGCAGCAACGCTGAACACCGTGAGGGCGGCGAGAATGTTTGAGGTGAACATCTTTGATTGAATTAATAACTTGGAGAGTATCAGCAAAGCCCAATTCCCAAAATGGATCTGATTCCAGCAGAAGAGAAGACAACAATGATAAGACGGCGGGTTTTTGTTGTTGTTGTTGTTGTCTGGACGATCCGAAGAATGGATGAAGAGCCGCGTGGATGATTATGAAGCAGAGAGGGCGGTGCAGGTGTAGCGAAGTCCCGTTCTTTTGACGGGCCGGGGCGGGTTTCGGGTTTTTGTGGACGAGGCAAGAGGCAGGGAGATGACGGGCCTGTCGAACGGCAACTGCGGAGTGGAGGATTGTAGGAAGAGACGGGCCCAGGGGATATAGATATCAAACACGCTACGCTGCGCAACGAACGCACCTTTCTTGTATTCTTCGGTCTCGCTTCGTTCGGACTGCGTGTGTGGTTTGGATTGGATTATGGTTGTTGATTGTGACTGGTCCTGGGCGGGAACAGAACCAAAGAGGGCGAGGGGGAGGAGCCAACTTTTGAGAAACGAAGGGGGAACCTTAACGACAGTGATGAATTAGACGGACACGAGATGGCGGGCGGGATGTCCAGCGGTGTTCGATTTGGCAGCAGATCGATTGAAGGAGCTTTGCCTGGAATTAAGAGCGTCGGAAAAGCAATCGTCGAAAGAAGGGATTTGCAGTAGATGAGAGGAGAAGAGGATGAGCAGAGGGAGGGTGAGGGAGGGTGACAGTGACAGTAACATTGACACACGTGACCGCCACGCTACCTACCGTACAGAGTATGGGCTTCCTCAGGGGCGGGGTGGGTCCCTGCTCAGCTGGCGGGGGTCTGATTGGCAGATCCCTTGGGTCCCCGATCCACACTAGATGGGATACGTGAAATTTTGGGAAATTGAAATTTGCTGCAATTTGGTCTATCGGGCAGTCGGGCAGTCGGGCAGTCGCTCAGTCGGTCTCCTTGTTCACCAAGAGACTCGAAATACTTCAATCCTTCCATCCTTCCATCCTCCCATGCTCATGAAACATCCAGGTACTACGTGGTACGTAGTACGTTCTATCATCTGCCCACTTCCTCACCAGCCGACCGTCCGATCGTCGGATATTACTCTATAAATATTCCGCAGATATCCTCCTAAAATAGGTCAAAACAAGGAATTGGATATACCACGGTACAGGCCTAAGTATTACCCCTCGAGGGTGCCTCAAAAGTCTAGTTTCCACTTTAAAACCCCTGTTTTCCGTACCCTCGAGGGGTAATACTTACGCCTGCGACGTAGTAGCTGCCACCATGCGCAATCTCGGGCCACCGCGGTCCGCGATGATCCGAGTACCGGTAATAGGTAGCAGCACTTGGATGCAGCACTAACGACTATTGCCGCCTTTCCAGGCTCTCCCATTGGCCTTACCCTCTGCCTTCTATCCCTGCCCCACCTTTCCGATCTTCCAGCCTGACGACCACGACGACGACAACAACGACGATCTCCACTGTACAGAGTAGAAGGAGAATTTCAATAACCTCATGAACCAAGAAGCCACACAACACACACCCACTTGCTACCTGCACTCAGGCCCCTCCTCGACGCCACAATTCACGGCTGCAGAACCAGCAAGCATTAAGTAGTGACTTAAAAACCCCTCCCTCGAATCCACTCCACCGGAATCGACCTGTCTCCTGGTCTACGATCGTTGCATATGGGCGACCACCCTGTGCGCTGGCGCTACCGTGGCTGATGACGAATCAACACATCTGTGTGCCTCGGCCCGTTTCTCGCTTTTGTGTCCACGCGAGATCCCGATCCAAGGCCTTCAGTTTATCGGTCAAGATTATAGGTTGAGACGGAGACGTCGGACACTATCTGCTATCAAGACCCCTGGGGCTTGAAGTGCAGGCAAGCAAGTACAATACTTCCGAGCCTTGACCGGCGAGGGCATGGCAGGAACTCGACTTGTGGAACTCTTCGGTAGGACCTTCAGCTACACGCCTATTCGGTCGGAACTCCGAAGTACTGTAATGAAGTTCCTGTGGATCAGAAGAAATGATTCTGGTTGACTGACATGAGAAGAACTCAAGCATTGCCAATGATCTGTTGGTTTCTCGCACACCAGTCCCTCGCTGCCTCAAGGATTGGCTGGCCCTGCGTCTGGGCGGTTGAAATATCTTCCATGGCCCGGGTGAATGCTTCCCTGAGCTCTTCAGTGGCATATTTGGAAGCCACCGCTGTTCGGAGGAATAACCAGACCGATTCATGGGTCCATCTAAAAGAGACTGCAAGTCGAAGAACATCTGTACAAACAGACGAACACATTTCACTCCTGACTGATGTGTTTGAATCTTCGTCTGCAACACCAAAGAGGCAGAACAGCAAAAACGAGAATCCGGATGTATCGCTGGGATTTTTCAAGCACCAATTTTTGACAGCAGACATCGTTCCGGGGTAGTCTGAGTCTATCGTTGGCGTCGAAAAGTCTCGAACACATGTAGGTGTGTCCGAGAAGGTTTGAATAAGCCACCGCAGGTGAGACCATGCATAGTAGTTGCGAGAGTGTCTTTCCGCAGCCACTAACACCACGCTCGTGAGGTCTGGTTGAATATCATACTGCACTCCAATCTTCTTTCCCATCTCAAGTAGCCAACGACGATGGCCCCATAGCGTAGGAGATTTGGTGTGCCGATGGAGTCGTGACGTGAGATAACTGTCTACAAACTGGATCTCTTTTTTCAACAGCGCCTCGAACTCGAGTTTTGGAACGATTTCACGCTTCTTGATAAGTCTCTTCCGCTCATTGGCGGCTGTGAGTTGTTCCGGGTCCAGCAAGAGCATAACAGCCGTAGCATCAAGGAGATCCACCTCCTTATCTTCAGGACAATTCCTCACATATCTGAAGAAGATCCGCCGTGCGACCATGAACGCCTGCACCAACTTGACTTTCGTAGTGCCGATGCTTTTTCCCGCGATCAAAACGTTGCGGCCTGGTGGTAAAGGGTGACTTGTGCCTAGGAGCTCTATCTCGAGGAGGTCTGAGGAGGTGTTCCGTAGTGCTGCTGCAATATCATGGTAAACTGGTATGAGATTGTCCGTGGTATCAAGCGACGAAGCTGTTCCCGGATCCAGTGCTCTCGACATTCTACAGTCTGGTGATCGTACAAGCTTTTTGAGCATAAGGGGGTCAAATGAAGTGAAGGTGGAGGGAAAAGCTTGGACTTCTGAGCCTTGTGGAGTGGCTAGCTAGCCTCGCCGGCCCGTGCCATACTTTGCTGTCAGGTCAGGATGGGAGATGTACTTCGTTTGCGCGGCATCAGAGTCACCCAACGTCCGCAAGACAAGGTACGAAAGTCTCGGTAAATTCGGAACATACATGTATGCTAACTATCATCCTCGTAGTTGTCCGCCAATATGCCTTCCGTCCTCCTCTTAACTTTCATCGTCCAACTGGCCATCCACCTGGTCAATACGTTCGGAGCAGAGACAATCAATACCCTGGTATAATTTTCGTACCACACCACTCAAGCAGAAGTCTAATGGATACCGCAGCTCTGGAATCTCTTCAGTCGCCTCCCCACCGCGAATTCCAAGGCTGCGGCTGAGCAGAAGGACCTCAGGGCGCAGTATTTCAAGATCAAGCAGCAGATGAATGCAACCAGCTCGCAGGATGAATTTGCAAAGTGGGCCAAGCTCCGCAGACAGCACGACAAGATTGTTGAACAGTTGGAGAAGAGCAGTACGTTCAGGCGCCTCGAAGCCCTTCTTTCCCATCCTAGTTATCTGTCCTAGGGGGTCACACAACAGCAGGAGGGAAGCCCTGCTAACGCGCAACAGAGTCTTCCACCGACAGCACCAAGACCCAGTTCGACCGCGCCGTCTCCATCCTCCGCTGGCTCGGTACAAACGGCCTTCGCATGTTCCTGCAGTTCTGGTTCTCGAAGCAGGCCATGTTCTGGATCCCGAAGGGTTGGGTGCCGTACTACGCCGAGTGGCTGCTGTCGTTCCCGCGCGCACCGCTGGGCAGCGTGAGCATACAATCGTGGACGCTAGCGTGTGGAGCGGTCATCCTACTGGTTAGCGATGCGCTCGTAGCCATCGTGGCACTGGTGAAAACATCTGGGCTGAAGGCGCGGAAGAAGGAGGCTGTAAGGGTTTCGGTGCCGGCTGGGGCAGCGTCATCGCAGGAAAAGAAGAAGGAATTGTAAATTACGCATAGGCTAGTTGTGCAAATACAGAGTTGGAGTGGAATCGACTGGTCAGCAATCAACGCAATTGAAGTGGTGCACATCACATACGGCACATTTGCGAAAGTGTTTAGAGGAATGGGAGAAGAAAGGGCAGAGTTGTCTCTCATCAAAAAGACGCAAATATCTCCATCGCTGCGGACAGCAGAGAAGTTGCAACACGAGTGAGATAACTCTTGGCAGAGTACTTGGGCTCAATCTGGGCATTCTTTTTGACTATGAGTGATCATGGGAGAGAGGATCGCCAAAGCTTCGAAAGTGCCACTGTGCGTGAGGGTTGGGGGAGGGGAGGGGGGATGATGATGGACTCTTGACAGAGGAGATGAAATTGAAGCTGTGAATCATATCGTATTGATGTAGCTATGTACAAGCCATTGTCGGAATCGCTCTGCTTTTATAAGTGTTGGAGTTGTGAACTTTGAGGAGGTTGAAGAAAGAAAATCCTTTAAAAAATCGCGAGGCCTTTAAAGCTTTGGGATATGGCGCTAGGGAGAAGTGGGCTAGCCGGGCCGGGGGAACAGCGGGCCCTCAGCCTCTTCAGCCTCTTCAGCCTCGTCGACTCGGCGCATCGACGTGTCTTGTACTGACATCGAACTCTCTGTACCGAACTTTCTATTCAGGTTTCCTGGTGCCTACCCCCACTTCCTTTCTTGCATTATGGCGATTTCCTGGGGAACGTAAGTATCCTTCCGTCATTTCAAAATTTCCTACTAATTTTCCCCAGAATCAAGTCACTCCTCCTCTTCTTCGGACCCATCCTTCTCCCCAAAGCAATTGCCTACTACCGCTCTGTGCGAGCCTCCCCCTCCATCCATGGCATATCCATTCGACCTGTCCCTTGCAACGTCTTCCGGGCACTGACCATCCTCTTTGCGATATCCCTCGTCTTCCTCGTGAGGACGCTCCCGATTTTCGCCCCCGAGAATATCTTTACGCTCACGCAATCGCGCCTCCAGATTCCCACTGATGTCCTTTTCACCCGCCTATCCGCCTTACGACCCACAGGACTTACACCCACCGACAATCTACTGCGTGGGAGACTGAATAGTCTGGACTCCCGCCTTCTGTACCTCCAACTCGGACCCGATGTGCTCACCGAATGCTCATTCTGTAACGCAGAAGACCCCAAGTCTTACCTCTACTACGCTCTCCCTAGCATCCTCACCCCGCACATCCTCAACTTGATTGTCCTCGCGCTCGTCACCTCAGGTCTCTTCATAGGCAAAGAAGGCGCCGTGTGGCGCACCACCGCCACCGTCGGCGCCGCCTCGTTAGCGGTGCTCGAAATCTACCTCGTAGCAGTCTATCACAGTCAAAGCAACGCGCGCGCAACCCGACTCGAAGACCTCGAGTTCTTCTTCTGGAAGATGCGCGTCTACCGGGGTGTGGCGATCGCAGGTCTCGACGCCGTAGTCGGATGGATGCTCTACCTCTCAAGCACGAACCGCGCGTTCGTGCTCCCACCTTCCGCACCTGAGCGGCTCGAGCACTCGATGAAGATCCTCGAGGCCGCGAGGGCGAAGCTGAATGCGATGGGCATTCTGCGGAATACGATACTGCGTGATGACGGGTTGCGAGATCGGAATGTGCAGTACTGGATAAGGGAGAGCCAGGTGATGGGCAGTGTGATGGAGGAGAGGAGTGTGATTGAAGGGGTCAATAATGCGTTGGAGAACCGCATCGATGTGGCGAGGATTACGGCAGATGCTGATGGCTATGTGAGGGGTATTTTTGCGTCTCTGCAGGGAAATGGTGCTACATAGATAAATATATTGGTATACCCGCAGATGAATAGATGAATAGATAAATACGACCGACTATGTTTGTCCACCCATGGCCTGGGAGTCGTAGTGAGAAGTTTCGATTTGAAGCTACACCTTCATGTCTGGTATATTGAGCATAGCGCACTGACTATGACTCATGCAACCTCACTCAAGAGATACGTGTGTATGTATATACATATACATATTCCCCATACGGATGTCAAATCGCGCAAGAGCGAGAAGAACTGCAACTCTGATTCGAGACCACCAAGCTGGCCGGCGAAGACCGAGAAGTGAGGCAAATCTTTTAGACTTCTACCCATCCAAGTGCGCTCGCTGCCTAGAAGAAATCCGTAGAGCGCTAGCTCTCACCTCCTTCAGCCACCCAGTCAACCCGGCGAAGGGAGACGAGAGGGCGGCAATGAAGACAAAGTACAATGCGCGGTAACGTACTCATCCTATACACCCACCTACCTATCTTCGATTGCAGGGATTAGGAAGTAGTATATTTGTTTACAATTGGGGCTTCCAGCGAGAGAGAGTACACGAAACACGAAACACGAGACACGAGACACGAGACACGATGAGGTGCTCTCTCGAATCCAGAGATCCCAGCCGTCGACCGGCGCGCGCTGTATCCTCCCTACCTTATCCTACGAAACTCAAGGCTTTGCGAGGAGCTGCTGCTGATGTTCCCGTGGCCCAGTTCCAGTTCCTTTGGGGAAGGTGGTTTTTCAGGGCTTAGAGACCTATTGCCTGTTGCCCGCCCGAGCGAGCGAGCGACGAGAATCAATCGCTCTTAGCTCCAAGCCAGGTCGGAACTTGCGGCTTTTTACCTATCTCTCGGGAGCGTACGAGGGAATGCTTACGATACTATTTGAGGCCTCACAAGGTTCTTTTGATCTCATTGAGGGGAGCGGAGAAAGGGTATAGCCTGCTCAAACTAGGTAGGTATAAGAAACAAGCGAGCTCGCTTAAAGAGGGGGTACGCTTATTTGAGTTTGTCGGACTCGCTACTGCTAGTAATACATGAATGAGCTGTGAACCTCAGACCAATTCTTCCGACCCAGCTTATGATCCCATCCTACTCTTAACAATAGCGATTCAATTCAGTAGAGACGCAATGGACATTTTGCTCCTCGGTCGATGTACTAGCGAACTGGGTACTCCATTGCCAGTAGACGGGCGAGCACCAGACGGAGTGTTACCTGGTTGGAGTTCACCACTAGGTGTGGTAGTAAGGCTGGAATTAATGCTGGCCGGGGCAGCACCAAGTGGATTAATATCCAGTGGGGGCACGCCACCAGGAATGCCGGATGGGGGAGCACTACCGGTAGTTGCAGTAACACTGAGTGATGCAGCACTCAACAGAGTAGCACTCTGCTGAACCGACCCTTCGCCCACCCACTTTTTCGAATCGGGCTGCGAGGCCTCAATGCCCATGACCTCGTGCAAAATCGCTTCCGATGATCCCCCACTGGCTATCACCTTTGAGCTAGGCTCCGAGACCCAGGTGTCGATACCCTCGTCCACAATCTTCTTGGAAGCCTCTCTATTCGCCGCGTTTTCTGAATCAGGTTTCAGGTTTTTAATGCCCGTACTTTGCTCGGACCTTTTCCTCTCCACCATTCCCCTCTTCTCTAATCCTGAAGCCTGCGTACTCATATTACTGTCGGCTCTTGACTTGGAGTGTTCCTCCTCCAACTTTTGCTCTCCAACCGGCTTTGAAGCCTCGCGGTGCATACATTGGTTCGCATCTTTTTTATCGGACCCTCTGAACTCTTCCGTGGCCCCTAAGGTTGTGCTTCCGTCACCAGATTCTACGCTTGGTTTCTTCAAGTTGTTAATACGAATTCTGGTACAACGTTCTGTATGAGTTTTGTGGGTTTTTTGTAGGTTTTTTAGGTAACGGTCTTTTTTTGTCCGTACAGCCAGGGCATGCTTAGGAACCTTCGGGTCGTTTGACAGAGTATTTCGAGCACGCCTCTGACGGGCTCCCTTATCCAGGGCCAGTAATTCATCGGTGGTCAGTTCATTTGTCTTGTGTCTGGCCGTATTCTCTAACTCCTTTGCAAACCTCCCAGTCAATCGAGGTTGCGTTGTCTGTCCGTCTAGTGCGGTGACAGGCTGTACTGGATCGCTGACATTCCCACCTTCGGAAGTATAGGATCTTAATGACAAGAAAGCTATGCCATGATCTGAAGTTATCGAGAATGGGTCTTCTAGATTTAACGGGACTGCAGCCAATGAAAAGCTCGCGGTCGATCCAGGCCTCTCTGGATGAACGGGGTCTTCGGATGCGGTACCGGTACCGGTATCGCCTTTTGGACGTTGTAGACGCGGTATTTCGAGAGAATGATCGATACTCGCAGATCGCCTTGGTCTGTTCCACCACCATTCTTCGGCATCTCTCCAGAGCGTCATTGTGAAATGAAGTATCAAGTTACGACCGGCTAACACGTCTACCAGGCATCAATTTGGAATGAAATATTATGGCACACTGCTTACTTATTGAAATACTTCTTATGAAAGTGCTTTAAGATAATTGTTTTAGGAATGATTGTTACTTGTGATGATGAATGAGGTGTAGTTGAAAGAAAGAGCGCATTTTGAAGCTACCGCTCTGCGAGCTCAGGAAGGCCCCACCGGGAAATACACTCAACTGGTACTTCTCGTCTATCGCCCAAATTTCGAGAACTACTCTATTTCGGATGTTGCCATACTGAAGGGAAACCATTCAAGAGTCTGGTTGTCGGCGATGAGACGAAGCCATGTGGCCATTGTCGTCTACCGGCCGCTGCATTGCAGTTTGATTGATATGAGAGGGGTTTCCACCCAAGTCTGGAGAAGTACTGATGCCTGAACAATTAAGCTATGCAAGAGGAGATACTGGGACAAGTCCTAGGCATACAACTCGGTACGTAATCAAGGCTCACGTGCACCGTACCGACGTCGTTCAACTTCTTCTACGGAGACTCGCTTGTCATCCGTATCAACAAGTAAACAACATTATGGAGTAAGATGATAGAATTAGTATAATGAAATATCATATAATACCATATATATTGGTGACGTTCATCACTCTGCTATTAATCTCGAGTGATATTTATTATTAATATCACAAGGAGGAAGGAAAGGGAGAAAATGTTACAGAAACAACTGCTTGCATTAGGTAGATATAAAAGGGCTATTATTAGGAATGAAATGCTAGAAAAACAGCTGCTTGCATTACACTTAAGGAAGCTACTATTAAGAATGAAATGTTCAGGGTTAAATCGGAATCGTTAAAAAACTGCTGCTTGCGTTACATTTATAAAGGCTACTATCAGGTACGAAATGGTAGAAAGATAGCTGCTTTTATCGGACTTGAAGGATTATCATTAAGAATGGAATGCTAGAAGAACAGCTGTTTGTATTACATTTAAAAGGATATTATTAAGGTAGGCACGAGATGCTAAAAAGACAGCTACTTGCATCGGACTTAAGGGACTATTACTATAAGAATAAAATGCTAGAGAAACAGCTGCTTAAATGCTAAAGAATTAATTACTTATATCGTAGTTAATAATTTTGTTCTGCCGTCTTTCGATTCTTACCGGTATTGAAATCGATTTTTTTCCAGCAAACTATTTGCTATAGGAAACCTATTTATTGATATTCTTTAGTAACGCAACGAGCCACGATAATGATAATTAACTTTATAAGTCTCCGTACTAAGCTCTATGTAATCTACATTTTATTTTCTTGTAGTTGTCAAGCTTCGTAAAAAAAAAACAATTAATTACAAGTTTCTGTCGCGATGTTTTTGATGTTCTTACCCCGCCCCCCGTTTTTAATCTACTTTAAATCTAACTTATCGCTTTGCGAATACAGCTTTAAGATATGTAGCTAATCAAAAAGATTAAATACCGCGGTACTGGCGTAATTGTTACCCCTTGAGGATGCCTTAAAAGTTTAGTTTCCACTTTAAACCCCTTAGTTAGCCTGTTAGCCTACCCTCAGGGGGTAATACTACCTACCGTACTTACGCCTGGGACGTAGTATGCGAACGTACGAACAATTGTTTACTTTCGACAAAGCAGCGTTACTGCTATTTGCAATGTTGAAAAGCTAGTGAATTAAATAAGCGTAAGTAAGCGAATTTTTTTAAAATCAACGACGGGTGGTCGGGACAAAAAGTTCGCTAACAATTTCTCGTTCAGCCACGCCAAAATACTCTCAAGATGAAACTCTCCGTAGAGTGGAGGGACGAGAGAAACGAAACATCCGCTGTGACATCTTTTCATCCCAACGCCCCTGAATTTTGAATTTGAATTTGAATTTGAATTTGGCACCCCGGCGGGCCGGCACATCAACACACTGTTTCAACCTGACAACCTTCCCACCCACCCTATCAAGGACAATCACTCCGTGATCAGCGAACCTTGAACCTTCTTCTACGCCATCCCATCTCCTTAATCCCATTCCCCAAGATGATCATCTCCGGCACATCATCTCCGACTGGTTCAGTCAGTGTCCCATGCCCATGCTTCATGGATATGTTGTACATCACTACGTACGTAGTACATGGCTGCCGGCATCCAGTTATGCCGGCTCGTCCACATATAGAGTAACTTTCCGCCTCCCCAAGAAATCTCCAGATTATTCAACACGTTTCGGATCCAGATGATGCTTATTCTGTTATGATGCTTTGGTTTACTCCACAGGTTGTCCATTGGCATATACATACTTCCTTGTATATATACCTCTCCTCCACCCCTCGTAAGTCCGAAAAGCTGTCTCCTCCCGGGACCTGGCCGACCTCTTTCATTCTTTCCAGCTCTTCAAAGTGCAGAGCACCGTGTTCTTTTTTCAGTCTTTACTCCCACTCCATTCATCCCAATCCCAATACCATCCCATACAGCCATGCATTTTTCACCTTCTTTCTTGGTGCTTCTGGCAAGCGCCACTTCCGTCCTCACAGAACCAAGCATCTCATCTTTCCCAAACTCCCTGACCCTCTCATCGCCTTTCGATCCCATCAAAGCCGCGTACTGGACAGGCCTTCCTCACCACCGACGCACTCCCTTCGCTGTCTCTCCAGATGGAAAGTCAGCTTACCTGGCCTACCTGGACTCTACTTTGGAGAATATTGTTGTTCAGCAAGTCGATACTACGACCTTCACGGCCGTAGGGACTGCCGTGACGGTAAAAGGATATGAAGCAGCCGGACTGGTGGCACAGGATGATGGGTTTGCATTGATGGCTACCATTGATGCTTCCGGAACCACTGATCTTCCGACTGACAACATGCCCATCGTCGCTGTGATCAGATTTAAGAACGGCGCTGAAGCTTGGAGAACGCCGATGAACGGCCCAGGTGTCCATCCTGACGAGGGTGTAGGTTTCCACTTGATTGATTGAGAATATTTATTGACAGGAAACAGCTGTCAGCTACCCCAGATGCCAATGGAGATTTGGTCTACTCCGCAGAAAGTGGGCTTTATGCAGCCTATTTCGTGGTCACCTGTGAGATACACCAACCAGCTCTCTGTTTTCATCAAGATCTAACATGTTGTTAGCCTACACGGGACCCGGCGCCGGCCACTTCGCAGACAGCATCCAGTACGTTGACGATTCCGGAGCTCTTCAAGTTATCGACTCGAGCAGCACCTTCGGATGCTCGCACAACACAGGTATTGGGCTTGAAGCCGCCGATGCACCACCATTCGCCAGTGTCTGTGCCGAAGACCAAGGGGCTATCTGGCTCAACACGGAAACGCGCACCATGAGCGGCCTCAAGATCTCCAACGAGAATACGACCAACGGATCGAGCGGTGAACCCATGGGAGGCATGTCTGGTTCCTATTCCAACCTTGCACTATTCCCATCATCCACCAACTACATCTTCGCGTGGGCATCACGCGGAGCCATAGACTTGACTCTCAATGACTGGCTTGGGGCCCCAAATACCCGTGCCAGCCCAAGATGGTTGAACCGCAACGTTGCTATCTCCACCATGTCTAGCAAGAACGCGCTTACTGGCGAAGAAGCAACCTCAACTGTTGGGGCTGCTGATGGAGACACGCAGGTCAACTGGATTACTAAATCCGAAACTGAAGACCACCAAAACGTCCACGTCGCTGCTATCAGCTCTTCGCTTGCCCTGGTTACCTGGGAGACTCTCAGCAACCCTACTTGTGAACCTTTACCACTCTCCTGCACTGGTACCTACGCCGGAACATCTTTTCAAGTCGTCGATAACACTGGAGCGAAGGTCGGAGATGCGGTCGTAGACAATGCGGTCTTCGTCAGCGGAGATATAGCCAATGTTGGGACTGATAGAGTCTGCTGGCCATATGTCGACATGGTCTGGGATTTGAGCGCACCAAAAGACTCGGGGACCCCAGTAACAACGATGAGCTTTGCTTGTGCTTCTACTACTGGAGGTGGAAGTACCACTCCACCAAACTACTCCACTGGCTCGCCCGATGCAGTTCCTCCTTCTACTTCCGAATCTGCCCCCGCAATCTCAAACCCCGCCGTCGTACCCGACAGTACTATTGAAAGACCATACGTGCCGACAAATCCCGGCGATGAAAATGTCGAAAAGCCATCCCCAACGGG